GTTCAAAATGTCAGCTCCAGCACTGGAGGTAAGCCTGCCCCCAGACACACCACTATTCTTAGGCTCTGAATATAAGAAAGGGAGCAGAAAGCCTAGAATGGGAATCATTAGTACTGAGAGCAAGAGGGAGGAGGAGAAAAGGGCAGCAAATGGAAAACTGCCTAAGGTGGTCCTAGTTGTGATTTCCTCCTGGTCATGGTTGCACATCAGCTAACAAGCTCTCTGTTTGAGATGTCCTTCCTGGCATGTCCATTGGGACAGAATAAAATCATAGAATTGTGGAATATCTGCTCCAAATATTTTACAAAGCACAAGAGTGAGATGATTTGTATTAAGTGTATGGAAGTGCATACTGGTTTTTAGATACAAATACTACTTGTTCTGGAAGTGTTAATAGCAGCATGATGTTATCTCCTACTCACTTTGCTCAGGAAGAAAACTGTACATGCATCCTTTGATCAGACGCTCAGAGTATGGCAGCAAGGACAAAACAATTCATGCTAGGTATTGTGGTAAAGATACCCTATCTTTTAAATTATCTTCTCAGGAAACAACAATTTGAAGCCTTTACAGCGTAGAAAATACCTTCACCCACTTAAATTTGCTATCTGTTAAAATGCCAGATGTGTGGTGTCTCTCTAGGGTAAAAGATGTGTGTTAATTGTGAAAGCATCATGATAGCATTCAATATTTTTTGTCCAGTTCTGGCTAATGTTAACTGTTTTGATGTACCAGACTGATATCTTATCAGGCAGGTTATCAGTGTTTTCTCTCTTAGGAGAATGAGATTTTCCTTAGCCTGGATGATGGTTATATTTCAGATGAAAAGATGAAATGGAGAGATTTCACACACACAGCCATTCCCACTTCTCTGGAAGCTAGAGAGGATTCATTTGCTTCATTATAGAAGTGGTATTATTAGTTATTTGTGACATTTCTGAGTTTTTTCGCTATTGCTTTGGACTTAGGGTCATATGTAATCAATTTTTTTATCATGTACTAGTTATCTCTTTTTGTTTTCCTTGTTTCTATGTAACTGCCTTAACATAATTGTCTACATGGTGTTTTATACCAATTTCCAACCTTGGGTTCTGCTCAGTTACACAAGAATTTGCAGACATTTGATCATGTGAGGACATTTGTCTAGAAATTCTAGAAATTTTTAATTCCTTTATTATTATATCTTTAGCAGCTTTTCACATTAAAAGTTATCAAGTATCAAGAAATGTAATTTTGTGTATAAATCAACAGTTTGCAAAATTGTTTTTCTGATGCTGTTTAGATGCTTTCTTAAGGTAAAAAGATCTGCTTCAAATGAAGATTTACAGAACTTGATTTTTTGAATGTTATTAGTATTTTCTTTTTTACAGAAAAAGCTAATAAGAGCAGTGGGAATTGAGATTGCTTTCTATCACAAGACAGTGTTTTTAATCACTTATGGCTTTTTTTGGAATTATAGCACTGAGGTGAAATTTTGCATTGGGAAAATTTTTGGAGCTTCAATATTCCACTGCTGGCATTGAGCTAGGAGGAATCTCAGCTACTGAGATGACTGGCACAGTGAGCTCCTGTGAGGGTTTCTTTGGTTGTCAAATGAGGGAGTGAAAGTTACTTGTGTAGGTACAGTGTTGGCACTAAAGCACATTGACTTATAATAATACATTACAGAAATTGTAAAACATATGACTAAGTGGGACCCTAAAGCTTACTTTGTCTCTTTGGTTGACTGAAGGCCTTATTAACTGTGTGCATTGTTCTTGGCAGATGCTTACACATCTTGTTAATTCAAATAAACAGAATTTTCAGTAATTAGAGTTCCACAATTGCCCTCAGCAACCTGTTCTACTGTGCTTGCTCAGAGATAGTAGCTCCAGATGTTCAAGCCAAATTTTCTGTTATAGCCATTTTAAGCCTTCTCTTCCTTATCCTAACTATGATGATACAGAAAATAAATTATTCTTTTCATCTCTGTAGCTGTGTTTTACAGAGTAGTGTGTACCTGTCTTCTCATGGCAAACTCTTTATTACTGCCTTTTTACGCTTTGTTTCTATTGTCGCTCCCCTCCCCACTCAGTTAAAGGCAAAATATTTTGAAACCAGTCTTCAAGTGTGATTCAATTCTGTTTATTACTTTGTTTACTTTTCCTTAATTTTGATGTGATTCTCTTGTGGTCTGAAGAGTATCCAGCAGTGTGTTCATTATTATTCAGAAGGAATTTCTCTGTCCCTTGTAGAAAGTAAGACTGTCACTGCTTTTGGTGATGACAAGGTGCTTTTCAACATAAAACCAAAATATGCCTGGTATTTTAGTTTTCATTTATCAAAACAGTTATATGGAATATTTTATCAAATTTCATTGGATTATATATACAGTTTACTGTACATTTAATGTAATACATTGTAATACATTGCTACTTCTATTTTTTTTTTATTCTGTATCCTGTTAAATGAGATATGAGATTGCTTGTCATCACTGGTACTTGTTTGTCTTGTCTCCAGCAAAAGAACTAACATAGAGTTTCTTGTGAGACTTCAGTTTCCACTGAACTGTTTCCTGAATCCTATGACAGCAGTCGTAGGATTCAGGATCCTATGACAGCAGTCCTAGATAGAATGCCTATTCTCCAAGGCTATTATTGAAAATCCTCAGTAGTATTCTTGAAACTCCAGGATTATTACCATTAGGTAAAAGGATTATTACCATTTTAATGCTCAACCTGATTTGGACCACAAACCGACCAAGCAGTTGTGTGATCATGCACGACTTCAGTGTCATGGTGAAATTTGTCATTGAAGAAAGATTACATATATTTTCCTCTGAAAACAGATAAGTTAACTTCTTTGTATCATTGAATTTAATATATTGGGTCACATCTGCTAAAGGATTATTGCACTAGAAGGAGGCGATGGATAATTTATTAAAATACCCCTGCAGGGAGATAGCAGGCTATCTGCTTAATATAGAGGAATGCTTGATGGTTACACTGAAAGCTCCCTGGTGAATCCTTTAACATAGAATAGAATGGGGGATGAAAATGATTGCTCGTTATATAATGTTTACTGTGTTATATTGGTGCCTAGCAGATGAATAATATTTATGTTAACAACTCCTTTCCAGCTTTTTATATTGATCTCCTGCTGGTCTAGGGCTGATATATAATTGTACTGAAAATAGGAAGATAGTACTTTTTTTTGTAATGGAGGGTGGTAAATAGGTTCTTCCAACATATCACCCAAGTTGGATATGAAAAGGAAGATATTGTATATTTGTGCCACAGACTTGTAAGATTTTAATTTACTTTTTTAATTTACTTTTTTTTTCTGAGCTCTTTCTCATGTCCTTGTAAACTTAAATGAAGTGTAGAGAGTGTCCCACAGGCAGTGGGAGTTTCCTGGTGGGTGGGAAAGCTTCTTTCCTTTGCCTCAAAGGAACCTCACTGTTGCCATGCTTACTGAGTTTGAGAAAGACCAAATGACTGTCTTTCCATGAATGCTCAAAGCTAAAAAGCTTACTAATAGCTGTCCTGCCTCACTGAAATACAGTTCCTGTGTAGCTGGCCAACCTTAAATAAAGATTTTCATTCATGCCGTAAGAACTGAGAACTCACGTTTTAGTTGCTGTTTATGTTACTTAGAGAACAGAAACTAAACCAAGTGTTTTGGTGGCAATATCCCATTGGAAGCTCCCTAGATATTGTACCCAGAGGAACTGACAGGCCTCAGTTTTCTTTCTAACAGCAAAGGACAGTTTCACATGGCAGCTAAGAGCAAAATAGACCTAAAAAGTCCTCAAGGTCGCTTGCTTTCATTGGTTCCTTAGGTTGATGTTTCTGGGTTCTTCCACTGCTGCTGTTAAGCAAGCCAGGCCTTAGAAATAGCAATGGTTTCTTGAAAAACTGAGCTGGCATATTTTTTAAAAAGAAAAAAACAAACACAAAACCCAACAAACTTTTTGCATGTTATGGGTTGTTCTTTTCAGGCCCAATGACATTATGTGAGGAACTTCTCACCACACCTGTCAGTCACTATGGACTGAGGGTTTGGAGTGGAGGGATCCTCGCACTTGTAAGAAGAGCTGTTTGTGTGAATTTCACTGCATTTTACCTGGAAGAGAGCCGGTGCTGTGCTCCTTAACCATTACTATCATTAAATGCATGAAAAGGCAGTGAAGACATTGCTTTCCTATGAAATGGAGGATAATAAATAAGACAGAAAAAGACTGGCATCAGTGACAGATTATTAACCTTGGTGATCTGCACAGCAAAGAAGTTCTTCCTTATGTTCAGGTGGAACTTCCATGCATCAGTTTCCGCCTGTTGCCTCTTGTCCTATTGTTTGGCAGCACTGAGAAGACCCTGACTCCATCCTCTTGTCATCTACTTTTAAGATATTTATACACATTGATGAGGTCCCCTCTCAGTCATTTCTTCTCAAAGCTGAAGAGGCCCAACTCCCTCAGCCTTTCCTCATAAAAGAGACATTCTAGTCCCTTATCATCCATCTTTATTGCCCTCCACTGGACCCACTCCAGGAGTTCCATGTCTCTCTTGTCCTGAGGAGCCCAGAACTGCACACAGCACTCCAGATGCAGCCTCAGTAATTGCTCTGGGCAAAGCATATAGTCACAACTTTTAGAAATGACCTGTGTGCTCTGATGATCATGTTTTTCATTATACCATATAAATGTAGGAAAATAACAGTTCCCTTTGCTCTTCCACCTCAGTTGAACCATTTGGGAAAAAAGGATTCTTGACTGTAATGTGATGAAAAATGCTTTATTCTAAACTTAACTGCCAAGTTACTCAATTTGAATGACTGAAGTTTGCTTTTCCATATAGGAGTTTGTGACTGTAATAAGTAAGAAATCAGTTTCTTTTCAGTGTAATTTAAAACTGCCTTACTTGAAAATGATGCACTTTGCCAGCACAGTCCCTAGCTAAGTGTTACTCCAGGCAATTGAAATACGAAAAAAGTAATGAACTGTCTGTTAAATCTTCTAGCTAAAAAGAAGAAGAAGCCAAAGCTCTTAAACAAGTTTGATAAGACCATTAAAGCTGAACTAGATGCTGCAGAAAAACTACGTAAAAAAGTAAGTTTTGAATGTTTCACTCGGGACTGTACACAGTGGATAAAAATCAATAAATTAAATACTTGTAAAAAGGGAGAATGAATTTTAGATTACTTTATTGAAATTAACTTTTTGAAATAGTCAGTGTATATTTGTCCTTCAAGTTTAATTTCTGCCGGATAGTTTGTCTTAAATTTTTTAAAGTTGTAAGTGAATGTCTGTTCATATGTGTTTGTTAACCTTGAAGATACGTAGCTTAGTCATTGAATTTCTGCTGAAATGGATCACATCAAACAGGTCAGTTCTGTCCTATTACTCTTGTCTAGTTGACTGCTGAAGTCAAGTGCTGCCAGATAACTCTGTGTCTGTTAGCAGTGATCTCTCAGTGAGTGCTCTGATGCCTCATGAGCATTAGGTGCAGATCACTGGAGTAGGTGCTGTTTCTGTTGAGATTCTGGGTCCTGGGAGTGCCTAGGCTGCTGTACAGCTGCTTAGAGGATGAAACAGATGTTCAAAAACTATCCAAACTGAATGATTGATGTTAAGGTCCTGCTGCCCCTGGTGAGAAGCAGGACCTTAACATCAATCATTCAGTTTGGATAGTTCTGAATTTAATAATTTGACCATGAAAAAGAAACAAAAAGCCCCCCAAGCTCTTCAGTCATCTCCCCCTTATAGCTTTCAATTTTATACTTTCATTTGAATATTTCAGAAAATAATACCTTTGCAGAGATGTCCCTTTTCCAGATAGGAGATTAAGTTAAAAAGTGAAGCAAGATTGTGGCTGTTAAAAATGAGGAACTTCAAGTCTTTTGAATGTATTTCTTGTTAAAACTCTGATAAATAGGAGATTAAGTAGTGAAGCAAGATTGTGGCTGTTAAAAATGAGGAACTTCAAGTCTTTTGAATGTATTTCTTGTTAAAACTCTGATAAATAGGAGATTAAGTAGTGAAGCAAGATTGTGGCTGTTAAAATGAGGAACTTCAAGTCTTTTGAATGTATTTCTTGTTAAAACTCTGATATGTCTCACAGAGAGTCCTAGAACATAAAGAACATCTGCAACTCTTTGCTGTACCCTAGATTTGAGGTGGATGAGCAGTGAGATATAATATTTTCAGTACAGTAAAATAAAAGCCAATTTGGTCATTGCAGGTGCAGGATTATATTTGATTTTCAGGACAAACTCTGCAGTTTTGACTTTATCTTGCCATCTATGCAGCCCCAGAGTTCTGGTAGACTGGAGGGCTCTTGCATAGGGAGCACTAACCTCTGGCTGCCACTGCTGCTGTTCCTCACTAGAAACCTTCTTTACATGTTAGAATACAAAGACAAAACAAATTTTCATGCTTCTTGTTACTTAAGCAATTGGTTAATCAGAAATAGGCATAGTAGACACATTTGATGAATCTGTAGGGTCAGCTTGTTGACTCTGTTTTCCTGCTGTATTTCTTGATAAGTTACAGATAGTCATACATGTCATGTAGGAATCAGAATAAATTTAGGAGCAAATCAGGCATGTATAATATTTGAAGATAGCAGAGCAGTTGTGTATAATTCATACACATGTAACTCATATTTATAAAGCTGTAAAGAGGTGGAAGTGGCAGCAAGATCTTTTGCCAAATGTTGCCAAGCAGTGCTAGTACCTATTTGACAGTGGGGCTGGTTCTTCTCAACATCCATCTGAACTTGCTAGTCAGTGTCCATCATGGGATCATCATCCATCATGAGAATACCACAGTTACATTTGGAATTGTGTGACATGTCCTGAGGGACGTTGTCATGCACAAACTTGGAGGAAACAGCCATACATTGTGGTTGAGTCTACAGTATTTCCCTTAGAAGAACTGTACTTATGATGCTGTTCATCATGAGAGGTATGAAGAGGGAAAATTTCCACCTGTCTCCAGAATTTTCTTCCTGTTCTCTATTATTTCTGATCTGGAATTTGTTATTAGCAGTAGGGTCTTTACTTTTGTATACAGACAGGTTATTTTCATCTCAGCATTTTGTCCAGCAAACAAGGAAAAGTGGGTAAAGTATGAAAAACCAAGTTATTAATTTTCACCATGAAAATTAGATTATATTGTTTCATAAATAATGACGATTCTCTTAAAAAGGCAATCCCAACAAAAGTATGAGTGAAAGCTGTTGATTCAGTCTGCATTGTTTTGTGTTTGCTCTTTAATTGTAAAACTAATGTGTTATTAGTTATTAGTGTTATTGGGTCTTGCATCCTTCAGCATTTTTATTAGATAGAATTGCTGATAAATATCTCTGCTTTTCAGGGAAAAGTTGAAGAAGCTTTAAGGGCCTTTGAAGCATTAGTGAATCAATATCCACAAAGTCCTCGAGCAAGATACGGGAAAGCACAGGTACTTAAAAAGAAATGATGGGTGTTGAAAAAAGCTAAAATAAACATTTTGTTTTACCAATAGAGCTATAAACACCAGTTGAAACTAATTTTTAAATTTATGCTGGTTTTCTAGGTAAAAAGAATCATGTGAACTGTCATATGTATCTCTTCAGTCAACTGTCCTTCCCCAATTGCTTTGGCAGCTTTTGTGGAACTTCAGTGGGAAGTACTGTAAATAACAAAAAAAAATAAGGTATATCCTGTAGATCTCAGGAGAACTGTCAGGTGAATGGCAAGAGATAAATACCAACTAATGCCCCAGTGCAGGCACTACAGGCAGAACCTACCTGTTACATACTATTTGCTGTAGCTGGGAAATCAACATGTCTGTCAGCCTGGGATAAATGCTGCTTTTTGCTCTAGTGGGAATAGAGAAAAGGATTTGAGTTTTTAGAGAGAGAGAGTTAAAGGATAAAGAACACAAATTCTTAGGCAGTGAGGCTTAATTAGCTTTACTTGTAGAGTGAGTTGTGTTTCAGGTGTTTCCCTTCAAAAAAACCCTAAAGAACCCAACCAAAACCCAGAAGGCATCAGAAAATAATCTCTGCATTTATAATACTTTTAGGCTGTGTTGAGATGTCTCAAAATTGAATAATAAAAGGATAATCCTGCTGCACTAGGAGTAATAAAAAACTCCTTGAACTCATGTTAATCAGGATAAAGAAGTGAAGCCCTCACTGCAGGAAGGACTGGTGCTGTTAGACAATTGATGAGGACCTTGGAGTCACAACCAGTTTCCACTTGGTTAATAATAGTCATGATAAAACCAAAGCTGTGATTATCCAAAAATCTATCACACAAGCACTTGATACAGAGCAGACCAAATGCTTCAGTGCTCTCTGTGGTGACAGTTTGCTGAACTCTTTGCCTCTTTACAGTAGGAGACCACTTTGTTCATACACGTGATGACTCCTCTCTGTTAAGTTACACTTTTAATATTTACCAATTTATACAAATCTACTCATTATATCTAGTAGAATATGCTTCCTGCCTCTTGAATGGCTTTAGGGAGAAGGGCAGATCACTGCAGCCAGTTGTGAAATTTATTCTCATTCAGAATTCCCATCTCAGTGACCCAACTTCATTTGTCCATTTACAGCAATTTGTAGTTGCCTACTGCTACTTTAGTAATCCATGAAAGGTCAATACAGACCAAGATCTGAAGAAATAATTAGGTGCATTTCCTGGGAGTGTGTAAAAACAATGATAAATTCATTTCTGTAGCCTTTGAAGGTTCATACTAGTCATTTTACTGAACACTCATATTAATATTATCAATGGCAATTTTATTGAACCCAGTATGTTTAAGTTTAAGCTGTTTGAAGGAATAGGAAAACCATGGGCTTCAGGTTAACATTCTTAACATTTGCATTGTAGCACAGTATTATTTTTAATAGGGATCCATACCAACAAAATCAATTTAAATTTGCTATTTCTCATCATTAACTAAAATTAAAACTGCAACGGGTAAGGTTAAAGGCCTTGAAAGTTGAAGCTGAAGTAGGTCAAGGATTCACCACAAAAGTGTAGTTTTCCTTTTCTTTGAAGCATGAACCAGCACTACATGCTAATTTTGTAGATTCAGTTTTTTAAAAGACATGAGGATTGATTTTTCTGGATCCTTTGATGGTTTAAAAAGCAACTGTTTTCCAAAAATACCTGCAAAATATTTCATTGTTGGTGTGTTTTTCAGAAATATGAGCAATTCTTTATTTGCTGTCTGAATTACATGTGAGCCAGATAAAATTATACTCTACAGAATTCTTTGACATCTTTACAGCTGAAAAGAACAATGGATAGGTTTTTAACCTCCTTATATTATTTATACTGGTGGAGTGATGCAGATTTTATGCTGAAAATTTTTGCTTGTTATATATCTGTAATATTCTTTGCCCTGCAATTCCTTTGAGAAAAGGAGAAATAAATTTCCTAGTGAATGTACATCAGAAAAAGTAAGTTATTGCTTAAAACTGATTTTTGAAGTTGTCTCTGAAAGCTGCTTGATGAAATGTTTGGCTGAATAGCCATAATTTTTGGTATTTCCAATACTAAGTTTTAAAACAACTCAAGGAAAAAATTAAAGGACAGAAGTGCAAAAAGATTTCAGATACTTGTTATAGCATATAGAGATAACACAGTTGAAGGAATTTCATTTAATGTGTGCATCTTTGATGCAATAGTGAATTTAAATAGACCAACAACAGCTTCTGCGCCATCATCCTCTGTGGCTCTTGTCTTAAGAACAAATATAAGCCAATAAATTTAGAAGTATTTGAGAAGAATGCATCAAACATGTGAAAATGTATGTATTTATATAACCAAGTCAAAGTAAGGCTTTAAAAATTCTGCATTTGAGACATAGTCTTTTTCAGCTATGGAAGCAAAGTATGAACGTGCCTTACCACAGGTGAGATCAGTTACAGCTTCTGTTAGATCACTGAAGCTGTAATTTCACTGTAGAGAGCTCATATATCCTTTGATCTGCTTCTGAATTTGATGAACAAATTTAAGTGTTGAAGGTGTTGTAGGGTACATGTTCTATCAAAGTATGCAAGGCAAAAGGCAATTCCTAATTCATTTTGCAATAAAGACTGTAAATAAATGGGTCAGAAGAGATAAAAATGTTTGTGGGTGTGTTTAACCTGTGTATTGCTTTCAAAGTAAGGCTTAGTATACAAATAGTCCATAGGCAAAATTTTGCAGCTCTTCTATGTTATTAAAACAGATTGCTTCATCTGCTTTTGAAAGCAGAAATTATGAATTCTACAAATATTAAACAAAAATCTGTATTAATGTATGTTTTAGGTGCAAATTTTCTCATACTTCTCCTTTCAAATAGTTTATAGGTAACTGTTGTATTGCACTAAAAGATTTAATGGTAATTCTATTGTGCTTTCCCATAAAGCAGAATCCATATTCTAACAAATGCATAGTTTGCCTGGTAAGAAAATAATTGGTTTTAAGCCTAACGGATTATTACAAGTTCTAATAATGATTTTGTTGTTCTTTCTAGTCTGAAGATGACCTAGCTGAGAAAATGAGGAGCAATGAGATGCTGCAACAAGCTATCAACACCTATGATGAGGTGGTTAGTCTGCCAAATGTCCCTTCAGACCTGATAAAACTGAGCTTGAAGCGAGAAGCAGACAGGCAACAGTTCCTTGGTAAGTTTTGAGGATGGTATAAAAATTACAGAAGTTGTCTGCGCAAGGATTTCAAGACACCACTAAGGATTTTAAGATGACAATTCCATTGAATTTTTGTTTGGACTTGTCTTCCTAGTATCTTAAATGAAAACCATTTTTACATTATTTAATTTTTTTCTAGGTAACTAGTGTCTATAATTGAGGATAATAGTACCTATTGAAAGCTGCAGCAGGTGCTCTGAGAAGCTATGCTGATAGGTAGTCAAAAATTTTTGTTGACAGACAAAAAAGAAACTTTTCTTTTTCTACTGAAGCTGAAGAAAATCAAGAGGAAATTACTGGCATAAGCAGAGTAAATAGAGTAAATACACTCAGAATAAACTTTCACTAAACATAGAGAAGAATGGAGTTGAACATGGGGAGAACAGCCCCAAGATTAGGTTTAGATTCTACTTTTAGATCTCAATTCTGTGATGTATGAGAGGTGATTATTAGAATATGAGGCAAAATCAAGAGTTCTGTTCCCATGGGTTGGATTTTTAATATCAAGTTATTTAGTTCTTGCTTTTCTTTAGCAAGACCTTATTTAGGAATCCAAGGAACATACTTAATTTTAAGCACATAAAGCATGATAAACTTCATAACAGAAGTAGAGTAGAACTATTACTTAACACTATAAATCAATAGAATTTATTTAAATAAGGTGAAGTTTTTTACTATATGTTTACTTAGTTTTTTCCAGTGCTTTGCTATCTGTGTATGATAGAGCAACCAAAGCTTAAATTATGTTATTTCTGCACTGTGAAGGGTCCTCCACAAGAGGCTGCCATAACACTGTGTGATTGCAGTGATTCTCTGAGATATTCCTGCTACACCCACAGTGACAGCCAGGCAGCTGAATGTGCTCCTTTCTGCTCAAGTTTTTCCAGGTTCTCCTTGATTGTCAGTGAAAGTGAACCACTTGCCTCTGATTTGTGTTTCCTTAGATGTTGTGTAAACATCTTGCAACTGTTCCTTGTATCTGCACTGGTAATTAAGTCTTGTTCAATCAAATCAGGTCGCATGAGGGGCTCCCTGGTTACTCTACAGAAATTAGTTCAGCTGTTTCCCAGTGAGACTTCATTCAAGAATGACCTTGGTGTTGGTTACCTCTTGATAGGAGACAACAGCAATGCTAAGAAAGTCTATGAAGAGGTGAGTTTCCATTCCAGCCAAGGAAAATTACTATTTACGTTCCTATGTTCATTTGAAAGATTGATTGATTCTAACTTTTTTAGTTGTTAAACATGTCACATGAGAGATTTTTGAAGGGTTAATACAGATATAAGTTTTTTTCTAATGCGGTTATCCTCTAATTTTAATTTATATTTTCTGATACTGTCATACTAACTTTTTTCTCATTGACAGAGGAATGCAGGTTATTTCCATATGCTTAATAATAAAAATCTTCTATCTTCTGGTAATCAGGTCTGGAATATATTGACAACACATCTAGGTGTGTTGTATATACATGTAATACAGAATGCATACTATAAAAATGATAACCAATCTTCAAGACAAGGGAAGGAGAAATAAGCCAGTTTATTTACAGGAAGAGCATTTCTAACCATGTAATCAAGTAGTTCAGTTCTCACAAATCTATTTTACCTTAGTTTTTTCATCTTTTTATAAGTAGCTTAAAATCTGCTTTTCTTTCATGTTTGTAGTGTGGACAATTCACTGGATTTATATTTCTGTCTTATACTGTGGTTATCTGGCTGGGGGAACTTCACTGCCAGGAAAGGCCACTCTGCTCCTGTGATCTAGAAACCTGTTAACATCTGGAAACTGTCTGACAGATGTGGAGTCTGACATCATTGGTAGAGCACAAATCATCACACCTGACCAGGAATGGTCCTGTTGATGTTGGCACACTCACGGTGCTTGTGTAGGGCAGGCTTGCTAATTGTCTGGTTATGGAGGCTGGAAAGGGATCAGCAGGATTAGTGCCACCTCCTGAGAATAAAGGCTCATTTTCCATCCCCCACATCTGGGGGTCCAAAGAGATTCTCATCTCTGATTGCTTCTCAAAGAGAAGGATGATGTTCAGCCACATGGTGGGAAGCAGAAGCCAAACACTAGGAATACCATTTTTTTTCCTCAAGCTCCTCTGGTAGTCTCAGATGTTGCCAGAATAATGTTTGCTTTGCTACTTTGGTTACTTTTTAGGTCCTTCCATAAAACATTTCTGTCCAATAGTTTTTGGCTTGCTGTCAAAATTTCTCAGAGGATTGGAAATATTGGCTTTTTAAAGGTAGAATTTATTAAACAAACCTGCTAGTCAAGCTGCAAGGAATTTGAGAAAACAAAACCATACTCCTTTTGGGCAAGATTTTCCCGTGCAATTATTCAGTGTTTTGTTGCAAACAACATAATTGTTAGAATTTCTCAATAATCACAGGGATTTTTATACATGGAGGAAGGTCATGAATTTGCTATATAATTACTTTGATACTGAGTTTTATATACTTCAGAAGAAATACATAGGGCTCTGATTAAGAATAGATATGCAACTGGTGTGCTTTTAACACACTGTTTTCCATTCTTCTTTATCCAGTGTAATTACTCTGTTTTGCAGTTCACTAACACTGAAATAGAATAGAGCATAGTGATGTTCTGTCATTGTAAAAGGAGGATAATTTTTTTTTTTTAAGGATTTGGATTAATTTTTTAAAAAATCATGGTGGGTTTTTCCTGTATTTTAGGTATTACTCAGGCTGAATTCCAACACAATAATGTATTTTTTTTTGTTGTAATTCAGGATAAGTTTACACTAAGGATTTTAAGAAATAATACCCAAAGAAGCAGGGAGAATCTCATGTGTACCTGCTTTGGTTCTTGGTTCTACTGAAGGCTTCTTGGATGACTTTGGGCAGATTGCTTAGGGGCTACATGGCCTGCTCTGGGATCACAGTACATGCCATTTCAGACCAGACCTACCCAAGCTTCCATAATCTCCAAGGAATTGAATAGAAGCCCAGGGAATCCTAGAAGATGAAAACTTTCTTCTATGCTTTGCATTTAATAGCCAGTTTACTTATTTGCCAGTCAATTCTTATTTTTCTTTCCAGATTTGTTACATCTTAGCAGCTTATTTTGAAAGTCTTTAATATATGTTTCTTCTTTTAGCTACAGAAGCAATGTGTATAAACACTGAATTTCAGACCAAGAGAATTTTTTGCTTTCAACTGTAGTGTGGTATAGTATAACTTGCCCAAAATACACTTTTCTAGTTTGTGTTTGCCAGAATTTTTTGCTGAACCACAGATAGAAAATGGTGTCCAGCTGGAGAGGATCTCAGTTTTGCCTCTAATATTAAATAATTTTCTTTTGAATTCACTTAGGGACATGGAAACATAATGTTAAGGATAATCCTAGTAGAATTCAGAACTATTTCTATTTTCAAAGAAAACACAACTTTAAAAGTAGTCCTGGTAGAATTAGAACTATTTTTGGTTCAAACATCCACAGATTATTAAAAAAAAAAAAAAAACCCACAGCAAAAGAGAACATTGTAGGACTGGTTACTCAGCTAATATCTCTTTTTCTGCCTCCATGCTGGGGCATGTGTGCATGGTTCAGTGCAGCATTATAGAGACAGGCATAAGCCAGCTCTGATTGAGCTATCTCAGGTACCAAAACCAGAATATCCACATTAACACACTACTCTGCCATGGCTAATTAGTCTCTGATAGCCCCAGAGGTTAATTTCTATATTCATGATTAATATTTAATGGGCTATGAGCAGTTTAGTAAAACTTATTTCTAAACATAATTAATATTGCACGCAGCAACAGCAACAGAGTAATACAATTTACATTAAATACTTCCAGTGTAATTTCTGCTGATTGTATCTCTTTGCTTCTCTTTAGGGGCTCTGAATGTAGATCATTCCTTAATGCAACTCGGCATAGTTTAAATGAACCGTAATACAGAAAATTCTATTCTGTCTTAATTAATCAGATAGCTTTGTCCTATAGTTAAAGAAACTGTAACGAAATTATGTGGCTAATAAATATTTCTGTCAGTCATTTCATTTCACCCTGCAGGTACAGATTCTTGGATCAAAATAATTATACACAGAATCCTGTAGTCAAAAGGCATAAGATGCAGAAGGTGGTAGTGTAGTCTTATACTAGGGATCAAGCTCATCCTTACTGTGGTACTTTTCCTAATAATGTCTCATACCATGGACTTCCAATAGATTCTCAAATTGTTTGTTCCTTCATAATAAGCATTTTCTGTGAAATGAAGTAAAATGTTGCTATTTTTAACTCATAACATTTTGTACATTCATGGCTGTGATTTTTGGATTTGCTTGGATGTAGTTGGTGTGTTTAAGATTTGAGAAAAGAGAGAAATTGGTCCAGAAAACTTCTTATGATTTTGCTTGTAATTATTTTGATTGAAAAATTATGTCAGACAGCGACTGGAAAAGGCAGAGGGAAATAACTATAATGTATGCAGGCATTTTATCCACAGCATAAGTTTAGTAGCTTCAAAAATGGATTTAGGCAAGAGAAATTGCTCATCTGTCTGTTGTTTTGCAATTAGCAGCTGTCTAGACATTCAGTGAATATCAGCCTCTGTAATTCCACTGCCTGCCAGGCTCCTGTGATGATCCTCACATGCTGGGGGTCTATCCTGATAAGACTGTCCACCCTTATTTTAAGGAAAGAAGAGATGTAAAAACAGATTAACTTAACCATGTAATTGATATTGCATAGAGCTACAAATTATATTGAATATAATGACATCATAGAAATGCAGAGCTGGAAAGTAGATCAAGACATTCTCTCTATTTTTTGCCCTCGGCTGAGGCAGACCAAATGCACTTAAATTATCTGACTGGTGTTGGGGGTGCATATTTCAGAATTCAGGTTGGCAGCTTCACACTTCCTTCCCCTGAAACACTGCCCCGTACACTGATCCTTCCCTACATCTGTCCCTGTACTCACAAATCCTTCTCTTCCACAGTCCCCATGAAATATCCATCTCTGGACATTTTCCCATGAGTTTCCCTTTTCTGCAAAATTAAACCAGTTTGTAAACTCAGATATGATCTGAATCTTGTTGGTTCAAAATCTTTTAGCTGAATTTAGCATGCTTGGTCTTGGTCAAAGAGTGCAGCCCACAACTACACAAGAATAATTTATTCATCACCTTCTAGTGTGAAAGCACATTGAGTCACTGCTGCAGTACTCTTTTTGTTACCTTCTTCTTATGGCCAGAAAAGTGCACACTGTTTCAGAGAGTGCTCCAGTTCACCACTGTGCTGGGAGTGCCCTTGGTGTTCCAGGGTTTGCACATCCCCATCTCACGATGCTGGCATTACATTGCAGCTTCTTTCTGAATTGTAGTTGTTATGCTTCATGTATTTTCTCTTGCAAAAACTTGTTTGCCACCACTGGAAATCTATCTAATTTAAAACTATTTCAGGTATGTTTCTGCTGCAGATTTTTTCAAGAGTAGCTGCTTTCCTTCTGATTAGTCCAACCTGGTATAAGTAACTTAACTGTTGATAGTGGGTTTAATTCTGTCATGAAACATGCTATAACTCAAGAGACAAGTGTAGAAAAGGACAAGTGAAAAATAAAGAAATTTCTGTTGAAATAATTTTACTTCTGAGACTTCAAAGTTTGGTTTGTCTGGAAAAGCACAAAAGTGAATGAGGAAAAGAAAGCACAGACAAGCCAAGGGTTTACCTGAGAATCTGTAATGGAAGAAAATACAATTGCATTACTAAATAGTGTTATGTATACAGGTTTGTTAATTTGCATAGATTCATACAGGTGTATTTAATTCATTTTCTCTCAAACAGGTTCTAAGTCTGGCTCCAAATGATGGCTTTGCCAAAGTACATTATGGCTTCATCCTGAAAGCAGAAAACAAGATAGCAGAGAGCATACCTTATCTACAGGTACTTTTTCACCCACAGTAAATGTTTTACCAGCAAACAGTAGAATTGGAATGTATAAAATGTGTCAGACTAGAAATGTGCTAATTACAAATCACTGCTTAAGTTATTTGTTGGAGTTATACTGGTGTATCACTACTTATGAACTGGAACAAACTTGTACATTGAAAATCATAAATTCTTAAACATCAAGTATTTGTTTTATTAATGGTTAACCTGAAGTACAGAGCTCTGAGCCTCAAATTCTTTGAGGTTGGTAGTATGCTGCAAATCTAAGGTTCTTGAAAGATCCAGAGAAGCCTTACATATACTTCTGAGTGTTTGGGAAGAAATACTAGAAAATAAAACCTTGATCCAGCTGTATAAAATGCTTGTGTACATGTTTATAGGGTTAGGGCAAGTATCCATCTCTGAATATGCCTCTGTCTTGGAAGGGAGAGGCTGGGGGATTTGGAAAACTGGTTAAGTTTCTCAATGACTTTCTACTGACATATTGTGGTCATTCATCTTAAATTCCAGGTTACCATGGTGGTTACATTTTTACCTAATTTCATAGCCTGTCTCTTGCACAGGATTGACAGACTATTTACAGCAATCAAATGAATTTTTTTAGAAGTCCTATTGAGGTTTACTTACATCTTTCATATTTATTTATTTATTTATGTATGTAATTTTTAGGAAGGACTGGAGTCTGGTGACCCTGGCACAGATGATGGACGTTTTTATTTTCACCTGGGTGACGCGTTACAGAGAATGGGAGACAAAGAGGTGCATGTTTAACCTGTTCTTGCTTTAAAATCTAAATCTGTGAGTGGCTGCAGACTCCAGGAAAGCATTTAATCATGGGCTTAATGTTGCAAACAAGAGTAGTTTGATTGCAACAACAATCCAGCATGTGTGAGTAGAAGTCAAGATGATCAACAGCAAAAAATCAGTTGTAGGCATTACAATACAATCTGTTAGCATCCCTTGCTTTAGATTTTACTGAAAATGTTGAAGCTGGCATAGGGCAGTTTGAAACAAGGGGCTAAAAATTTACAAAAATTTTAAATGTTTCTAGAAACTGTGTTCTGCTTATATCACCTTTCAACACAGATTTTAATGAGAGTTAAAATAATCAGTTACATGTATATTGCTATATAGAAGTTCTTGTATAACACTACTTTGTAAATCTTCCTTTCTTTCAAAGGAAAAAGCACCAATGAGATTGAGATAAAAGAGGATCATGAGAGGACTGAATGTGTGGGCTGAGTTCTGAAATTTTTTTCCATAACTAAATTAGCAAATCAATCAGGAAAACAGAAATTTGTCCTATGTGTCTGTTGAGAGGCCAAAAAAAGCAAGCATATGATGCTGGAAGCCATAAGAGTTTCTCTTTTGTTTATTTGAAATCAAATTATACTTAAAAGTGAAATTTAAGTGTATGACTTTGCACTACAGTGATGGAAGGATAGCAAAGGATCTTTTTTGAAGACTCTGATTAGTCAAGGACTTTAATATGGGCATGAATTTAAAAACAACAGCAAAAAAAAAAAAAATCCAATTCCTTGGTGGGAAATATGAAGAGAATAAGCATAAAAAATCTGAGTAGAAATAGCCATGAAAATCACTGCTTTTTAATTACTTAACTAGTAATGTGTGCAATATTAATACCTAAAAAACTGTAAAAATAGCTGACCCCTTTAGTGCTGTGGCCCAGTCAGTAGGTGGTTCTCCAGTATGAGCTGCAGACAAGTGGGCTGTGGTGAAGCCACTGTATGTGGTCTTTCTCAAGTCTAGTTCATCAGTTTACCTTTTTTTTTTAATAATTCCTGGAACTTTTATTACAATACTTTACACATACAGTAGATCTAGAATGTAATATCTGAATTTTAAGCTAGATTGCCTTCCCTCAATACACTTCCAATGACATTTTTTTAATTGTTCATTTATAAGTGAGAATTAGTTTACTTCATTTTACTTAGAAACACATGCACACACAGAGTCTGCTTTCACACTCTATCTGACTCTGTCTCCTTCTCTCAAATCCCTGTACATTTGGGATTTGAGACATTCTGGGTTGAGTTGCTGAGCCTAGAACATCCCATTGCCATTTGTTTAATACCATGCAGGTGTAATTAATGTACAGCATCTCTAACCCCAGGATAATTATATGTTAATGTTTATGGAGTTAATGGCCAAATCTGCTGTAGAAAAAGTTTAATTAATGACAAATGAACTTCTTGGGATAGAGGAGACTTCTAAATTTATCAGTGGAAAGTCCATTGTTCAGCTAAATTTTCCTCACTGACCTTGCTAGACTTGCTGAATTTCAAGATTTAATCAAGGAAACAGATCAATATTTAAGTTAGATGTGAAATTGCTATTACTGAAGGTTTGTTGAAGGGAGATATTCATCTATTAGAGCTAAATTAGGAATTATAAATGTGGCCTTGGGAAATGTTTGGGGAACAGTATTGAGTTTGCCCTTTCCAACTACAATTTGATAAAATGCCATATTGGCTTAAGAAAAGAGAAATTAAAACCGTGGAAGTTGTTACACAACAAAGCACTCTTCACACAGAATGTATAAACTGAGTGCACCCCAAACAATTTCTGTCCTGGAAAGGAGAGCTACACTGTTTTAGCTGTCCATGTTTCCCTGCCAAGACCTGCATGAGAAAAGAAATTTTTGACTGAGTCTTGGGAATGGAAAGGATGAGTGAGGCAGCCTGTCCCTATTCCATCCTGGTAAAGGCAATTTCCATAGCACAATTCTTCTAATAAATAAAAATTAATTGTATTACACATCATAATTATAGCTGATGTATCTTAAACAGCAGCAACATTCATACTCATCACTCAGGGGCTGAAACAAATAATTCATTCCCCTTATCATTTGGGCTAACTCCAGACTCTGCCATTGAGTGCAGGCAGTCAGCATGAACCATCTATTGATATCTCACTGGTATTTCAACTTTGGGGAACAAATGTTATAAATCCTAATGCTTCCATTTCAGACAGTTAACAGAAATAACATCAACATTTAAAGATATATTGTGTATTACCTTCATGTGTTACCTTATTTTTTTTTTGACCCATGCACAATTTTACTGAGCTTCTCTAGGGAGGAAAAGATGACAGTTTATATATGATCTGCTGTTATTCTGTTCACCCACGCTACTTTTGTGTACTTCAAATAAATACTGTAGGGCAAAATGTATTGGCACACTTTGCTCCATACTTTGGGAGACTTATAAAGATCAGAGTACCACATTTTTCAAAAACCTGAAGAAAATTTACAAAATTTGCTCTCAACAAGGACTTTCACCAGTTTCTATTCAAGGCATGGATTGCTGCCCGCCTCAGTCCTTCGGCTCTGGAATTATTGTTCTCATATTTCCCTACTTAGCTGTCCTGAGTTTTTTTTAGTTTGTGGTAGGTTTTTTTGTTTGTTTTTGGGTTCTTTTGGATTGTTTTTTTTTTTTGGGGGGGGGGTTGTTTATTTTTTTGTTTATTGGAGGATTTTTTTAAGTTATGTTGTCTGAAATATTGCAGCTGTAGCAGCAATGCTGGACAGGAAGGAGGCAGCTCTGTATAACTTTCTCTGCATGTGGTTTCTCACAGTACTACAAATGCTGGATCTTTTTCTCCAAGAATCTAATTTTCTTTTTTTGCTGCTATGCAGGGGTAAAACAAGTTGTGTAAAGGGAGAGTAAAGACGAGGAAAGGTCCAATATTAACTTCAGCAGGTTTCTGTCATGGGATCAGTTAGGGTGTGGTGAAAAACATTTGAAGAAACTCATGTGCATTTAAGTATTAGACAATTAACACTTCAAGTCATCATCACAGCATCTCCACTGGCAGCAGAACACAGTCATCTCTCACTTGTAGGTAGAGGATTGAAACAGAAAATTAAATTGACCAAGATGAGAAACAATTAGATATTCCAAGTCCAAGGACAGGGCATGAATTACAAGCCCATATTTGATGTGAATGGTAGTGAGAAGATTATCCTGTTTTGTTAATGTTGCACTGGACTCTCTTAGCCAGCTGATCTATTTTGTTATTTGGGATTTTTTGTTTGTGGGTTTTTTTTCCTTAAAGTATTCATTAGTACATTTTATTGAAAGAATAACCCCAGCATCTGAAGAGACAGTCTGCTACCTTGCCAGGAAGTGTTACTTTTTTCCTGTAGGAACTTGGCTGAAATGAATTTGGTTTTTTGCACTGCAATGTTTTAGGCATACAAGTGGTATGAACTTGGATACCAAAGAGGTCACTTTGCATCAGTTTGGCAGCGCTCCCTCTACAATGTCAAGGGACTGAAAGCTCAGCCTTGGTGGACAGCAAGGGAAACTGGGTATACAGAACTGGTGAAGGTAAGGCTTCAGTATACTTTTGTTTTTATTAAAATTACAGCTATAATTTCATTTATTAAGCAGAGAAAATGCTAATCAATAAGGTCAGAACTACTGACTGTGAATTCCAGACAGCACTCTCAGACTGAGCACAAGAATTAAATAAGATACTATAAAATAAACTTAGACAAATTTGAGAATGGGAACAGGATGGCTGAAATTATTAATAAATACAAAATTTGCATGGTAGACAAATGTAACATCTCAAGTGGAAAATGACAGCACAATTTGGTAATGTCTGGAATACCCATGGTGAATTTTTAATTAGTCAGGAAAGGCTGTGCTTTTCTGCCCTTGTGTCATATTTAGTGATTTTAGGGGCTTTTAATTGCATGAGAGAAACAAGCGTAGATTCCCAGTGATGGATTTAACAAAAGATAATAATGCAGAATTTAAATTCTTTAAAAGGTTTTTTGTTTATTTAACGCAAGGCAAGTAGTGTGGTTATTGTTTATAACAATAGCTTTTATTTCCAAAATTGCATTGATTTTTATTAATTTGCTACATTTCTAATAATAATTCCTAAAAAGTTAGGAAGAGCCTTTTTTAGGCTCTTTTTAGGAGTTTTAGGAAGAGCCTTATTGGTGTGTGGTTTAGAGAAACCATTATGGATAAATGATTTAAACCCAAAAACGTATATTTGTAAGGAACAAATTCCTTCAGAATGGTTGTTTCTTTATACTTAGTGACATAGCATTAAAAAAAAAACACTATGGAAGGATGGTTATTTAAAAAAATATAAAAATAGTTCAAAAAGGAAGATTGCTCTTTGTTATGGTTTTGATGGCAACAAAAATAAGGCTAGAAATTTAGATTAAAGTGTGATTCTCCGCTGTGATCTCAGCCACACCAAAAAGCAGTGAGCTTTATGGGCTAGCACATGAAATGTGCTCATATTGAACTAATTCTTGAGGTATGTGGGGAATGGATGCTTCTTGCTATAAAAGATATGGAGAAACTGGGAACTTAATATGTTTCTGTCAAACAAAAAGGGAATATGCATATTATTTGACTGGTGTTTCAGAGCTTGCATGCAGTGTTGTTTTACAGTTCCTTACATGTAAACCTTTCAAATTCCTAGGTCACAGAAGGTAAGGATCCATTCACCCTTGGCATGAGTCAGCTTTGAAGGGCTTTGAAGGGTGAAATCAGTTGATGTTATAAAATGGCCAGAGCTTCACCTTGAAGGTTTTTTTCAGGTGAATCAGGCCATATATGAAGGCCTTGGTCTGGATCAGCACCTTGAGTGGCTTCTAGAAGAGCTGCTCAGAAAACCAGCAAGGATAAAAATTCACCCCGACCTCCACAGTACAACTGCCTCTCTGGAATTCAAGAATACCTTTTCATTCCAATCATTTGGTAGTACATGTTTTAGCTGTTTTATTAGCAATATGTCAGTGAATCTAGATTAAATTGTCACTGGTAAATTACTTGTACAGGTATTATAATTTGGGAGCAGTAAGATCTTTAAAACAACACTCACAGTTTAAAGTATAAAGCCAAAATGTAGTTATATGCATCAGGACAAATATTTGTATTGTTGTGTTTTTTGCAACTCAAGAAAATACTTGAAGTTTTGAAAGAAAGCAGGTTCAATTCTAATTACATGCAATGCTGTAAGCAAGCAAGCAAGACTAGAGGTAGTATTCTTCAGGAAGCAGCAAAAAACTATTGATGACATTAGTTTTCTAATTTCTGAATTACTCCAACTTCTGTACATGGTTTAGTTAAAAAAATTATTTCCCCTTCTCACAAAGCAGAAACCAATCAACAGTTAGTTCCTACTGCTTCATTTCATTACATTCCTCTTCTGTCTGTGTGGGAAATGTGGGAAATGCTTCCAAATCACCATGGTAGAATTCAATATGGATATATACTGTATACATTGATATATGCTGTACACACTGATATATACTGTAGACAGCACTGGAGGCCCTGACCTTCTCTCTGACTTTCACTGCTTGTTAAATGGGAATGAACTATTTTCAATAGCTTGGTGTCTTAATAATGCTAACTGAGCATTTATTTGGGGCTGGGGCAGTAGTAAGGCTGAACTCCCTCTGGTTCATTCCATTAACCAGCACAGCTGTGGTCAGTGGGATCTTACAGCACAGTCCTGGTTTGATTTTCTTATGAAGGGTCATCTAGTTTCTTGGACCTAGAGATGGAGATGTGAATTTTGACACTGTCTTGCTTCTTCCATAGAAAGCCCTAAAGAGAAAATTGTCTTTTTACAGTATTCTCAGTTAAATAATTTCCTTCTGAGGGGCATTCAGCTTAACTAGCTATAATCATACAGATTGAGACATACTGTCCATGCTAGTGGCTTTGTTTGCAAGAGAAAAAAAGGGTATTTCCACAGGATGATTCATTTTTACAATGCTAAATAACTGTGTAAACATGGCATGTCTCCTTTTCCGGTGTTAACTGTCCTACTGCTTTACTTAAAAAATGGGTCCTGATGCTTAATTTCCTGATGGGTAAGGTTGAAATAAGACAATCTCCTACTTTATCTCTTTTAATATTACCTGCTTGCTTGGATGTCTTAAGGAAGAGGGTTTTGGGTTGGGTTTTTTTTGTGGGGGGGGAGGCAGGGAAGACAGAATATCTCAGTAACACTTATCAGAACGTTGTAGACCTTAATTAGTGGAACTGTGCTGAAGGGGAGTTTTGAATCTCTCTGCAGCTCACTGAGGCTTAATGTTCTTCCTTCAAAGACTGGGGAGAGGCACCTGATTTCTCAGGGAGAAGAAAATGTAAACCTTTATATTAGGAAGGGTGTGGTGAGTGATTTATGTAGAGATATTTCTACTAATGTTTCTGATTTACAGGCATTTTAGGCCTTTGGATCTGGGAATTCAAGAAACTGTCTTCCTCTTTTGACCTCAGTTGAAAGGAAACCTTACTTTCATCTTTGAAAGCCCATCCTTTTCCCTTGGAATGATTAACTTTCCTCAGCCAGTCTTACTGAGTCATTGCATCTTTCTCCAGTACCTTCTGCAGAACCTCATCTATAGCATTATTCTATTCTGGTGCTCATTTAAAAAAAATAATAAAAGAGATACAATGGTGTTGGATCCTAGAGACTTTCCACTGGTCTGAAATTAATATGTAGGCAATGACTTAAATAACTTTGTCCTTTATGCATGTTGTGTCCTTTGCCATTTGGAAAGGTCCCAGATAATGCTTTGCCAATAATTTACTACAATTTACTGATGGATTAAAGTAGATCTTATATTGTTGCTTTTCTCTGATGTCTTAGATTTTATTATATAAATTTTCAAGTGCATCAAGAAAAGTGCAGAAAGACAATGAAAGTATTGGCAACAGAACATATCTTTATAGTTTTCCATAGGTTGACAGCTGTGCCTTAATGGTTTAGGTAATAGTAGCTAAACATTCATAGTTAAGGGAGAAATTAAATTAAAATGTGTATTTAAAGTGTGGTTGGATGCTTTAAGGGGAGCCTTGTGTTGGAAAGAGCAAAGATGGTGCATACAAGTGCTGATGTTTAAGCTCTGTGAGTGATTGGATGGGTGCAAGGAATCTATTTTGAATGGTTTAAAACACTGCCCCTTGCTTGGAGGTTACCAGCATTACCCAGTGGAGATGTGGTAACTGATGGTGAATGCTTTCCTATTCTGTTTCAGGAACAAAGTGAAGTACATTAAACTCTTAGCCACGATCTTATTTTATAGTTCAGTGAATTAAAATGGATGTGTGGTCAGTAGTTATGCCTCACAGGAGGGGTAGCCACCTCTTAATCTCTTCCTGTGTCATTTATAACCATGCTTTGAAAGGGTTTGACAGAACAGAGTAAGGATACTTTCAATGTAACAGTCTCACATAAAAACCTCCCATATTAAACAATCCCTATTTAAATAAAATCTACATTATTGCCAGATGTACAGCAACTGTAAACTTCAATTGTTATTAGAAACTGTATTTAAAAAGCCATATGGAGGTTTATGGGAATCAGCTGCTAGCAAACAAGTACATATGCTCCCAGTGCTTGTTGCCTCCTGATTTTTCAGTTGTAATCAGGATACTGCACCAAATATAATATTAATGTTTTGCTCTAACCTGGAGCTTGAATCTTTGCATATCATGGAGGCATAAGTACATTTAACTTTTTTTCCTGCAGATACCAACTCTTAGATCAGGAGCTGTAAGTCCAAGTCCTGGACTTAAACATGCTTGAATGTTTTCTCGTGTTCTTACTGTTCAAGATATCCCTGAGAGTCTGTAGTATCAGGGAGACCAAGGCTGGGTAGTGTTTGAACTCCCCGTTTTATTTCTCCCAAGAGTTGTCTGTTGGTCATTATAAAGCACTATCAGTGTGTTTTACAGATGGGGGTCTGTGTTTTCAGGACAGAAACCCTATTGATATGTGAGCAATTTATGTCTACAACCATTGAAGATTTAGCTCAAAATTGATGAGATGTATTCAAATAAATTTATATCTAACATGTTGGGGAGGGAGCCTTTAAACACAAGGACAAACACTCACCTTTATAGGTTAACCTTCAACCTGTGGCACTTGACAGAGAGCAGAGGTGACAGAGCAGCTGCTGCCTACAATGCCTTGGACCACCAGTGCTCTTCATGTGTTGTCTTGTCTGCATGGATGAATGCTCCCTCTTACCTTTTTTCAGCTGAGGAAGTAGGAGGAGTTTGAGGAAGCACAGAAGAACTTGGAATATCTTTGAACCTTTTCCAGCTTTGTTGCTCTATATCACTTTAAATTGAGGCTGGTGTGAGTGTAGGTTATTCTTTTCTTTTTCTTCTCCAGCCAGTGCAAAACCAGGTTCTCAAGCTGGAGTTTCCTTTTGTAGATAGGATAGTGCTGAATAAGTAGCAGCACTGTTCTCACATACATCTCTGATTAGGTGGAAATTTTCAATCTTTTTTTGTACCCTACATTTTGGAAAAGTCAGTTTTCCAAAGATATTTTATAAAAAAAAAAAAACCAAACAACTCCAAAACAAGTCTTTGCAATTTTACTTAATGCTAGCTGTTAAATGAGTGTTATAGAAACCATCAATGAGGGAGAATAACACGAATACACTAGGAAAAATAAGTGTTCTTCTCCATTTTTTGATAGGTGAGAGAAAAAAAACAATTTGTTAAGATAGAAATTACTGTAATAACAGAATTGAAATCTATATTTTCATACATTTTAGCCTAGCTAAAATTGTTCTAGTGGGAGAAAGTAGCTGTATTATAGATAACGTGTTCTAGGCAAAGTTTGCTTTGTTGAGCCATTTATGATCTAGCAATACAAACCAATTTTGTCAGAACAACTTTTCCTTTAAGTAAAAAAAACTCAAGTGGAAAATGTAACTGTTTATTTTACATGAAGATGGCTAATAAACATATGAAGTTTATAGCTAGGGGGCTCTAGCTATATCACCTTTTACTCATCATATAAGGAGTTAGTGTGGGAACATACCATAGCTTATTTCAGTGTGAAATGGATTGAAAATGTCTTACAGAAATGCATTGTTCAAGAGCACAAAGGAGTAATGAAAACTATTCACCCAAAATAAGGTTTAGTGAAAAAAGTAAGCTGCTGGGAAATTGAAGTTACTTTTATCCAGATCCATTGTTATACTGTGGGTTTTCCATTTATATTGCTATAACATTAAAATTACTTATTATTGGTAGAATAAAAGGTTTTCTAAGCTATCTGATTTCTCTAAATATAATGTCCAAAGGCAGCAGAGAACAGAAATTTTAATTCTGCTGTTTTGTGGGTTTGTATGTATGAAGTGTCAGGCAGCTCACACATTCTCAATCATTGTGTCCATAAATGATCACCTGGCATTTCAAGTTGTATATGACTTTTGCAATAGCATCAACCTATGCAAGTAAATTTCAGCAAGACTTTTTGAAGGCTTTCAATCATAAACTTCAACTCAATTGGTGTGTTTAAATTTGGCCTCTTTGGCCTGTAATATTCTGCCTGCACCTGGAGTTCCAGGTTATGTAAGTGCTTTAACAGTTGCAGGACTGAATCCAGGGTCACATGCACAGCATTTAGGAAGATCAATATATTTAGCTTGCAATACAAAATGATCACTTAAAGAGCCCTTAGGCTCATCAAAAAGCAAGTCAAAGTTAGGCCTGGTCTGCAAAGAAGCTGGCTATTGTTGAAATCTTACAATCCCAATGTAATTGAATCTGAAGAGTGTGAAAGTTATTTTTTCTGCCTTAACATGTCAGAAGGGAACAGAATTTAAAGCAACTTGATAATAACGGCAAACACTCTTTTATTGCTTTTAAATATATAAAAAAGCTAATAATGGCAGGAAGAAATAAAAATGGTACTAAAGCCAAACACAGTAATTTCTCAGTGCAGTAACAGTTCTCTCACAACAGTCCTTAGAGAAAAACTGGAAGCTCATTCGGGATGAAGGTCTTGCTGTGATGGATAAGAAACGAAGCCTCTTCCTGCCTGAAGATGAGAACCTGCGGGAAAAAGGAGACTGGAGCCAGTTTACCTTATGGCAACAAGGTAAAACATTCTGTATTTCTTCTCTCTCCTCAATTTGATCATCTCAGATTAACATAGTTTAGTAAGAAGTATCAACACAACTTTTTCTAAAACTGTTTTTGTGATCAGTATGTACAGAGGAAGGGAATTGATAAAACAGTGTTTGGGATCCCTGTGACCATGAGCAGGAGTTCTTCATTCTAAACCATGTTGTCTCCAAATACCTCTAAGGGTCCCTTGAGTATGGTAACTGTTCAATGAGTGCACTCCTCTTCTGGCATAATGCATAGTACAGGGTAAGCCTGAGGGAAGATGGGGACCTGGGAGAAGGCACATCCTCACTTCTGAGTTGCCAGCTAGGGGAGCTCTGTCATTCAGAAACAGTGTGAGCAAAAGAATATGACTTTAATATGCCTGCTGCCCTGCCCCTGAGTGTACACTGGGAGGCCAAACTCTTGGAATGACCTTAAATTCTTATAAAACTCCACATATGAAAGAGTATTGTAAAATAAAATATTAAAAGCAAATTTATATCAAAATATAATCTGGTGTTTAAATTTTATGATACTGGGGGAATTTTAAATCTTTTTTTTTCCTATGCATCCACACTAGTGATTATACATTTAAAATAACACTTTTTAAATGGCAGAAAGCCTGGTGTTCACAAATAATGTAAAAGTAAAATGTGTAGGCTGCTATGAAATTACAACTTGGAGGTACTTAGCTTGCATAGTCCTAAAATGAGAACAGTAATATTTACCTGCCTCTCAGTGTCAGGTCTTTGGCAGCTTTGTTGCTCTTCTGCAAAGCAGAAAATGTAAATGTTCATTCATTGCTCTTACCAATGCTCTATCCATTATTTTCACTAGGAAGAAAAAATGAGAATGCTTGTAAAAGTGTTCCGAAAACGTGTGCTTTATTGGAAAGATTCCCAGAAGCTACTGGCTGCAGAAGAGGGCAGGTACCTGGCAAACTTCTTCATTTTTGCAAATTCATAATGGTGGGAGCAGGTGATTTTGAGGAATAGAGGGATAGAGAAATGCACAATTTTGGTATATTTAATGATGCCTCAAACACGCAATAAACTTAACAATTAAAATATTTTAACTGTCAACAAATACCAGGTGAAATATGTTAGCTGAAGCCTTTCTGTGGACTCTTTAGTTGAGCCATTTTTCCTTGTGTTTCCTGGGAGCTCATGGTAGGTAAGTAGGTATTTGCCATGGGTCAACCACTAAGTAATGCCTTACTAAACCTCAGCCTGAAGTGACCTGATCTGACCCATAGCCTAACCTCCTTTGAGCAGGAGGTTGGATTAGGTCCTTTCTAACCTGAGCTTTATTTTCTGATCTAAACCTAATTTCACATGACTAATTTAGGGAGCCACATTCTCACTGTGATAAATTTCACCTGTCTACCCCAACCTGGCTGCATTAGCCAGAGGGAGGATCACCTTGTGGAAGCCAAATAGTGCTGCCAGATGCTTCCTTCCTGAAGGTGAAGGAAAGAAATTTTACATCCATGAGTGTGGGTGCCAACAACATTTGTTTCACGTGCCTACAATGACTATTCAGTTATCAGTAAACCTCACTTTATCATGCAGTAGACCTGTATAGGTCAATGCACATGCATTGGTTTTGTAGGACATAAGTTTTCATTTTTTTCCAAGTTATTATATTTTGTCTACAACGACTATGTGAGAATATCCTTCACATGGCAAAATTAAGAATGCAAAAGTTGAAAAGCACAGTGCTAATGTAGCCCTAATTCAGACCCTTGAGTGTATGTGTTCATTTTTTTTGACCAGTCCCTTGCTTTTGATGCACAGAACTGCACTGGGTGGCTACTGCTGTGGGAATGAACAAAGCTGTTGTTCCATGGATTGGTTGCAAAGGCAGGTTATAGTGAATATAACTGATTAGAAGTTATCACACTCAATGTGGCTATGAGAAAATTGCTCTCAGTCACATCCAGAGCCAGAGGATCTGTCCCTGAGAGCAGATTCTCTTGGAGAGCTACTGTTTTGTTCATAATTTCTTGGTGCCCTACATGTTATCTCCATGATATGATTTGCAGAGATGTTGTATATTTACAGCTGTAGCTGTAGTCACATGTTTTGAACATATAAATGTAAAATAATCTGAAAAGTCATGCTTTTTTTTAGAAGTCTAAAAAAGTTTTGCATCCACTATTATGAAATGCCTAGGGCAATTTTAGTTTTATGCCAGCCATGACTCAGATGTTACTGCTAAAATAAACTTAAAATATCAGCTGATTCCTAGTCACATATGGAAGCACCACTAAGCAATGGGAACAAACACAATCAGGAAATAAGGAATTCTGTGGTGAATAGACTATTTGGGTGCTTTGGTCACCTCATGCAGTGACAAAGATAAATGAAATGTAGAATAATGAACTACCTGTTCAGTGCTGCTAAGACACTGTCTAGAACAGTAGGAAGTGATCAAAATTGTAACATTCTTCTTAAAAATAGCAGTAAACTAAAAGTATCACAGCTAGTTTTAATTCTGAACATTTCTTACATTGCAGCCATAGTACAACTCATTAGTAGTTTAGAACAATTTACCTCTAGCACTTGAGCACTTGAGCAGGCAAATATAATTCACAGACATATCCAGACTGATCTGCATGGGCAGATCATGTACATGACAGCAATCAATGTTCAGTGCTGGCATATTGGCATTACAGAAATTGTTTAGCTCAGATATTAGTAAGCATCCTGCATCACCAGTTGTTTGCATTGTGTCAGGGTCTAACACATCACAGGTAGCAGAGTTGGGTGGGAGGATCTGTGTTCACCACAGCCACTGGAGCTCATCACTTGCTGTCATAAGAAACTGCCAGTAAGCTGAAACCTCAGCTTAGAGGCACAAAAAAACCCATCAGACAAGAGGCACATGCTGTCTTCTGCTGGTTTTGTTAACAGTTGAAGAGCATATAGCACCTTAATCTGGAAGATTTACCAAAACTACTCTCTCCCAGCCAAATGTGCAGATTTCTCACTTGAAAAGGTGCTTCTCATCACTGTAATGCATTATTCATGCTTCCTGTGCCCTGAGTTGTCATAGAATGAATCAAAAAGGTCGAGGTGAAGAGGGACATGTGGAGATTACCCTTACTTAAAGTATGATGAATTAGAGCAGATTGCTGTGTCCAGCCAGGGTTTGAATGCCCCTGAGGATTGACACTCTACAGCCTCTCTGGGCAACCTGTTCCTGTGTACAGTAAAAAAGTGTTTCCTTATGCTTAAATGGCATTTGCTGTGTTTCAATCTGTGTCCATTGCCTCTTTGCCTTTCCCTGGATGCCATTGAGAAGAGCCTGCCTCTGCCTTCTTCACTCCTCTCATCAGGTATTTAAATGCATCGATAAGATCCTTCCTTGAACCTTATGTTCTCCAGGCTGAACAGTCCCAACTACCTCAGGTTCCCCTTGTATGTTAGATTCTCCCATCCCTTAATCCCCTTTATACCCTTCACCTGCTCCAGTGTGTCCATGTTTTCCCTCACAGTAGGTAGCACAGAACTGTCCAACATTTAAGACATCTCATGAACTCTTAGGGGAAGGATAACCTCCTTCAGTGGGCTGCCAGAGCTCTCCATAATGCAGCCCTGGAAGCTGTTGGTGGCTTTGCTGCAATGCTGGCTCCTGTTTAATTTGGGCACTGTGAGGACCCTTTAAGGGCCCCCCTGTGAGGACTCCACAGTCTCTTTCTAGAAGGTTGCTTTCCAGACAGTTGTCCATCAGCCTGTATTGGTGCATGCCTCCCTAGTGCAGAATTTTATGCTGCCTTTTGTCAAATATTTTAAGATTAAGTGTTTCCTTCTTTCTCCATCCTGCCAAGGTCTTTGTGAAAGGCAGGAAAGAAAAAAAAAGTAGTGTATTGGCTATTCCTATTCAATTTTCTATCATCTGCAAACTTACTGAGGAGGATGCACTCTGTCCCATCTTCTGAGTCACTGTGGAGCTCTTAAACAATGCTGGACTCAATACTGAACCCTGGGATGCACTTCTGATGAGTGGCCTTCAGCTGGACTTTGTGCCTCTGATCATAACTTGTTGAGCCTGGCTTAAATGCCAGGTTTCAAACCTCTTCACTGGGAACTTATCTAGACTCTATTTCCTCACTTTGTTGATTAGGGTGTTTATGGCAGACTGTTCAAATACTTAGTGTTGAGATAAACAATATCCACCAAGCTAGAAACCTCACCACAGAAAGCTGGTAAAGTACAGAATCCCCTTCATAACACAGGTATTCTTTTCCTTCATGTGTTTGAAAAATATTTCCAGGATTTCTTGTTCTCCATCAGCTTTGGCTGAGGTGAGGCTGACTAGACAGTAGCTCTTCAGACCATCCTACTTGTCCTTCTTGAAGACAGCAACATTTCCTTTCTACCAGGGGACCTCTGCTGGTAGCAGTGACCTTTCAAAGACTGCATGGATTATGTATGGATTCACATCATCCATTTCCCTCAGGCCTCATGGATGGATCCCATCAGGACCCATGAACCAGATTGTTGGGTTTGTTTAAATGTTCCCTAACCTGATCCACAGAAGATCAATCATCAGTGCTCCAGTGTTCTGTTTCACTGGTCTCAGGTGCCTGCAACTCCTGAAAGTCAGTCAGACCAGCAAAGATTGAGGCAAAGAAGACATGTAGTGCCTCAGCCTTTTCCATGTCCTTTGTCATCAGATATTCTGTCATGTTTAGTAGGTGGGCATGTTTTCTGTAGACTTCCTTTTATTGCTGAGATATTTGTAGGAATCTGTCCTGTTACCCTTCAGTTCTATCTCCAGATTCAGCACCAGGAGAGCTTTGACTTTCCCAGCCTCATCCCTGCCCTTGCAGAGAGTGTCTCTACAGTCTTCCTGGGTAACCTGACCGTGCTTCCACTTCCTATATGCTTCCTTTTTGTGTTTTGTTTTTTTCTGATTGCCTTGCTTCCTGCACATAGGAATTATTGAGTTTGGACAAGGTGCTACTTAAAAATCAACCAGCTGTCCTAGACCCCTCTTCTCTCATGGGATTTTTTCCAGCAGATCCCTGAGCAAGACCAAATCTGCTCTCCTGAACTGTGGGTAGTAATTCTGCTTTTTTACTTTCTCCATCCTCTCGTGATCTTGAGCTCCACCTTCTCAGGGTTGCTACAGCCAAGGCTGACAGTGACCTCCACAGACATGTCATCTGAGAGGGGCTGGCCAGTCTGATGAACACAGACTTGTGTCTCCTATTGTCCATCCTTTTAAATCTCTCCATAGGAAAAAAGGTATTTTTCTGACTGTAGGAAGAAGATAATTATTTTCAGCCTGAAATGTGAATACTGGTTATTTTAAGTAAAAATTAAAACTGTGTACTTTCACACACAAATGGTTTCACACACACACCACAAGACATATGTTTTGTAGTATTAAATGCCTTTAGGATATGAGAACTGCTGCTGAAACTCAAACAAAAGATGGCATTACACTTTTCACCCATCACCAAGGATGAGACTAAATGAAGTCCTGACTCCCTGCAGCATGGTTGTGAAGTGAAATGTGTTAAAAAAATGTGCCTTTCTCTTCTTGCAGATCAAATATTCTATCATGCACCCAGGGACTCATGTCTGGCCCCACACAGGGCCCACCAATTGTCGGCTGAGGATGCATTTGGGCTTGGTGATCCCTAAGGAAGGCTGCAGAATACGGTGTGCCCAAGAGCACAGGTATGGTTCCAATATTGGGGGTTTTTTTACTGTTTTGGGGGGAAGGGCCTGGCTTGCTTGCTTGGTTGTTTTTTTGGTTTTTTTTTTTCCCACTTTCCTTAAGGCTGAAGAAGGGATGGCACTGCATGTAGTTAAAAAAAAGTAAAAAAGGGAGTGTTTTGATGACCAGGATGTGTAATATATCTCATTAAACAGGCAATTTGCATTCTGACTCATGGTACAAACTTATAAATATCAATTCTGAAACAGTGTCAGGGGAACCTTTTGAGACAAACCTGTTCTTCCTTGCTATGGCATGGAAATAACAGTGGGTTTGGTCAATGGGGTCTCAGTTTACTTTTACAATGCCAACCTACAGAGTTGGCTTTACAATGCTGCCAACAGAGTTCCTGTATTTATTTTGATTTTGGAGAGACATAGAATTAGTTGCTGCTTTGGCAGAAGCTGACTAAGATACAACTACATTTTCACTGCTGTGACAGAATACCATGGCACTTCCAGAAGAAGCCTCCTTTTCAGTTTGTTTTATTTGTTATAATTCAGTTAAAATATTCCAATTGAAGTTGATCTCAGGATGAAGACATCTGTGAAGTTTTAGGCCCCATGAATTACTCAGGTGGCAATTTTATTTTAAAGTGTACTTCAAGGGAAGTTTCTTACCCATGAGGGAAAAATTGTACTGAATTTCAAGTCAGTTTTATCTCTGTTTGCTCAGTCCAAATGAAATTAAATGCAATAGCTTATACATTTACAATCAGGGCATATACTCCCCTTAGAAAGCTGGGAAAATGCTAAGTTTTTTGTATTATATTATTAAACACAGAAAGAAAAATGTAGTGTTAACTTTATTGCTTATTGCTTGCAGGCTAAATTTGTCTGGACTTAAGAGAAGTATTAATATCTTTACATATATTTTGATTAATATATTAATTAATATAATAGTTTAATTAATATCTGATTCTTAATATCTGTACATATATTTTGAAAGATTGTGCAGCCTCTGAAGGCTACAAGTGCTAATTTTGAGTTATTTTCAATGTAATAATATAATTAATGGTAGAAATAGAATTAATTTGATATTGAGAAAGGAAATGCTACTCCTGTCTGCATGACTGCAATACATAGCAAAGGAGGTTTTTTTAATAACATTTGAAAGCAACCACAACCGGAAATCTTTGGAATTTTTGAGGATAGAACTATCCAGCTGTTAGCAACAAAAAGTGTTGTTGCTATACTCTCCTGCCAACATGTAGCTTATAGTCAGTGTTACAACCTACACTACCTACATCTAGTAAGCGACAGACATTTTTTTCCAGCATCCAATCCAATATCCAAATCAAGTTGGGTGGAGGGGGAGGTAGCTAATTGCCCTAGAAGACTGATATAGAGGCATGGAGTCTTTTCACTTTAGGACATTAATGTGAGTTCAGATTGGTGGTGACTGCAAGGCATTACCATTTCATGGCTGTTTAGTAGCTGGTGTGAACAAAATAGTGGTTTTGCTCTGCTGCCAAGAGAGCAGGTGTCCACAGCTCACCACCTGTTATAAGGCTGCCAGCCTTCTTTGTCTTAACCTGGACAGAAGGGATAATCCTTTCCTGGGAGAAAGAATTTAACAACCTCCTTGGTAGACACACTCCCTCAAAGTCAAGAGCAGAAAAATGCCTGTTGCTGCAGACAGAACATAGAGCATGTCAGTGTCCAGGTTCCAGAACCTGGGTCAGTCTTATGCATCAGGCATATTCATTTAACACATAAAGCACTCAAGAGCTGACTACAACTTCTGCTGAAATGTGTTAAGATCAATGGCTTACAGCAAGAGCTGTACACTCAGAAACAAGGGCGAGATTTTCCCTGGAAGCACTCAAAGTGTGTCTGCTGCTGGCAGTGAAAGGGCTTTTACATATCCTTCCCCTGTGGCAGAGGGGGTGGCTGAACTACTGGCAGAGGGAATGGTGCCAGGAGGAAGACTTAGCTTGAGCAATTTCCATTCCTTTCCCTGTGGTGCTTCAGAGCAGTGGTAAACTGGTGGTTTCCAGTAGGAGAGCTGGCTGGGAGAGGAAGATTACCATCATCATGGCTTTTCTGGCCTCCTGTGCCACTGCTGGGTCCGTGAGAGAGAGAACAGAAACAATGAGAATTTCATGCTTGGTTACCTCTGTGCTACCCTCTCAGGGGTCTCTGTGGTCATGAGGACCCCGAGATGTGTTAGAGAGTCTCTTTTCCCAGCCCAGCAGCTGAAGAAGGAGTCAAGATTCTTCTGTTCTTATTCTCAAGGCTGTTTATTATTTTTTATCTATAACATTCTTTCTCTGACCCACTGAGATCTGTCTGGCAGGTTGGGTTGAGGCACACCGACTGCCCTCAGGGCAGTGTTATCTTTTATACTAAAAACTACGTGTACTTTATTTACAATAATTTTCCAATACCTATCACATATGTAGTTTGTCTCTACCCTAAACCAATCCAAAAGTGCCACCATCACAGCAGAAGATGGAGGCCAAGAAGAAGAAGGAGCAATGCAGGACGCCCAGATTCCTCCATCTTGCCTCCTGAACCCCCATTCTAAAAACCCCAAAATTCTACATTTCACCCTGTGATAAACTCACTAACATTCTATTCAAACTCTTGTGGCTGGTAGATCTTCATACAAAGTTGGTAATTGTTTTTTCCAATGGCTAAAATCAAAGGCACAGGTGTTTTTAACTCCATGCCTGTCAGGGTCTTGAGTCCTCCAGGGCAGCCAGAGGAATTTCCTGGGTTCTGACACTGTGACTGTGTTCACAGGGGTCTTAGGATGAGGGAAGAGACAAGGCTCTGACTCCATCTTTCAGAAGGCTTGATTTATTATCTTATGATATATATTATATTAAAACTATAGTAAAAGAATAGAAGAAAAGATTTCATCAGAAGGCTAGCTAAGAATAGAATAAGAAGGAATGATAACAGTGGCTCGGACTCTCTGTTTGAGCCAGCTCACTGTGATTGGCCATTAATTAGAAACAACTCTATGAGACCAATCACAGATCCACCTGTTGCATTCCACAGCAGCAGATAACCATTGTTTACATTTTGTTCCTGAGGCTTCTCAGCTTCTCAGGAGGAAAAATCCTAAGGAAAGGATTTTTCATAAAATATGTCTGTGACACGACACCACCCAGCATGGTTGTTTAGAGTGTTACAATGGAACTCATCGTTTGATGGACAGGCAAATCAGCACTGTCTACTGCTGTTTTACTCCTTCATTTACAGATGAGCTTTTTGCATCTGTTTGGAGTTGGTGTATCTTGGGTGAGGGCCTCAAAGATGATCAGAGGGATGAAACACTCTTCTATGAGGAAAGGCTGAGAGAGATGGGGTTGTTTGGCTTTGAGAAGAAAAGGGTCCAGAGAGACCTCATGATAGCCTTTAAGTACTTGAAGGGAGCTTTTAGGAAAGATTGGGACAGTTTGTATCAGATAGATTGCAACAAGACAAGGGGTAATGCTTTTAAACTTAAAGAGGGTCGGTTTAGATTATATATAAGGGAGAAGTGTTTTATAGAGATGGTGGTGAGACACTGGAACATGTCACCCACAGGAATTATAGATGTTCCATCCCTGGAAACATTCAAAATCAGGCTGGACAGGGCTTTGAGCAGCCTGATGGAGTTGAAGATGTTACTGCTCATTGCAGGTTTTGCCTTTAAAGGTTCTTTCAACCCAAACTATTACGATTCTATATTTCTTGTTCTGTATAGCATTGATAATTTTAGGTCACTTGGCCATTTTGAAGTCCCAGCTCTGTAAAATGCAGGGTATAATGCACAAAAATTGTAGGTAAATAATATCTAATTATCATAATCCAACATTGCTATCAAGGAAGGTAACCTTATCTTGAAGTGAAGGTGAAGCTAGAGCCATTGTGCAGAAGCCAGTCTGAGATCTCACCTTTAACAGGTGACACTAGAGCTGATATGGAGAATTATCTGGAAACTACCCCGAAGTGGCTCAGCACCAGACCCGAACAATATGGTCCCTGTGTTACCACTGAGAAGTGTTTCTCACACCATCAGGCTTCTAGAAAATATTTATTTGCATGCTAATGGTGGGGTTTGTAGCCAATTCAAAAGGGGCTAATAGTCCCGTCAGCTTTATGACTTTTTCTTTGTTGTGCAAAACAGCCGATCCCATTATGATGCAAATTATAGATCCCGGGTTTTAACCTTTGAAGCTACTTCATCTGGGTGCCTGGGTTTTTATTGTCCTTAACTGAGTTGCACTTTCAGGCTATTTAGAGCAGTTCTTTTCAGGCTTGATTTAATTAAAAAAAAAAAAAAAAAAAAGAAAAAGAAAAAAAGAAAAAAAAAACCCAGAAAAAAAAAAAACCCTAAACCAACGGAAAACCCAGCTATTCCCCCAACAAGAAAAACAAGACCAGATATCAATTGCTCCAAACAAAGCAAAGCCAAATCCCCCAACCCTCCCCACCAAACACCCTTGGCGCCACCTCCCAGAAAAACCCTACTCAAATCCACCCAAAATCAACCTCCCCAAAAAAACTCCAAAAAACCCCAGAAGAAAACCCCCCCCAAAAAAAACCAACCCCAAAACACCAAACCAAACTAATAATACCCAAAGTCTGCTTGAATTTTTTTTACCACATTTAGCATTGCAAATGGTTTACTGCCATGGACTTTAATAAAATCAATGTAACTTTAGTGCAGTACCAGTAACTCAGGGTCTGTGTGACATACAACATTTTCATTACCAGATAACTGATGTGGTAGCAAAAAACTCCACATGTTCATATCTGAAACCTGCAAAAGGCTGTTTATCTGGGCCTTTAAGGCATGTGCAAGTCAGTGTGAAATTTTTTTACTATGTTATGCTCTCTGGTTTCTCTACTCTTGTTGAAATTATGTTTAGCTCATTATTTCAATTGATCTATTTCAATTTCTTTTCAGAACATTACAGCACAGCCCCATAAATTTTGATGGTTACTTTTTCCTTTTGCTGAATTAAAAATATGGAGATGAATTGGAAGTATGAACCTGGTTTTCACACTGTTTTTGAAAAAGAAAATTGTTTTCTCAGTAAATGAATACAGCAGAATGAGCTTAAGCAATGCATTTCCATCTTGGATGGCAAGGCCTTTGTTTCTTTACTATTTTTACTGTTCATGGTGCTTCCTTCCCTCTGAGGGCATCCATCCTCTTGGATTGCTTCAGCTCCTGAGGGATCCTGTTAAAAAAATTGAGTGTGTGTTCATGGTAGAGTGACTTTAGGAAGGAATGTTCCTTTGACTGTTGCTACCTTGACTGATATTCATTCATCCAGTCTCACCTGGAGGTTTATAATCAGGTGTTCAACTTCTCTTCAAAATTATGAATCCAGGTCTCAGCAGGCTGGAGAAGCTGCCAGCTGAAATGTGATGAAGTTCAATGAATGCAAAAGCAAAGCCCTGCAGCTGAAAACAGATAAACACCTGGCAGCTGCAGTGGCTGGGTGATGACTGCCTAGAAAACAGCTTTGCAGAAAAGGGCTTAAGGACCCTAGGGGCCAAGTTGAACATGACTTATAATCTTCTTTTGTATTGATGAAGTCTAGCTGTGTACTGGACTGTGTTAGTAAATTTGTAGGAAACAATTTGAGCAGTACAATTTTTTCCTCTCTCTTCTGCATTCAAGACACCACCTCTGGAGTACAGTGTCCAGTTTGGGATATTTTAGTACAAAAAAAGCCATTGATAAACTAGAAGGACTCCAGTGGAGGATGGATAAGATAAGATGATTAGGAGGAGAAACTCAACAAACTGGTTTGGAGTCTGGAAACCAGAAGGCCGTAGAGTAGCCTAGTTACTTCTTAACTACTGAGGGGTGACTGTGAGGAAGACAGAGCCAGACTCTTTTCAGAGAGGTGCAGTTGTAGAATGAGAGGCAATGAACACAAGTGACAGTGAAGGAACTTTCATCTAGGTAAAAGGGAGTTTTCACAATAAGATGGTAGAGTGCCCATGGTTGCAGATATCTCAGACTTTTTATGAGTGGATTTTTTAATATTTCATCTAACCTCAAAGTTGGATCTGACTGCAGTGAGTCCTTCTATGAGCAGAGGCTTGGACTACACGACCTTCCAAAGGCATTTGGAAGGTCTGATTTTTAGAAAAACCAAATTGATTTAAAATAATTTATTTTTTAACTGTATGACCATGTTATTAGTCATTCCCTCAGTTTCCATCACTTATGTACATCACTGATGTGTCTGATTAGAAATGAAGAAAAGTGGATTATCACACCAGTACTTTACTCAAGTAATTAAAAGTATAATAAATAACATACACCATAAATATCTGAATGTGTTTGTGAGCATAACTGTGCAGAATGAGGGGGAAGGATCCCTCAATAATATAAAGGTCCATTAGACTAATCTTTCTGTAGTTTCTTTAAAGCTCCCATACTCCAGTCTCTCTGGATTAGGCAGTGAAATCTTGACTATGCAATCTGTACTGTTTAAATCTTTCTCATATGTCAAAGAGCATCTTCAGAGCTGATCTATAGCTTACCTGCTCCATGGCCCTTCAAGTACATTGAAGTATGTTCTTCTTTGTTTTGCAGAGACTGGGAAGAAGGGAAAGTTCTTATTTTTGATGACTCCTTTGAACATGAAGTATGGCAGGATGCTGAAAGTTACCGCCTGATATTCATTGTGGATGTGTGGCACCCTGAGTTGACAGCTCAACAGAGGCGTACCCTTCCTGCTATTTAGGGGCTTTCTTCTGAGGTGTGGAGCAGAGGAGTATTAACTCCTTTGGAGTATGAAAATAGGATTAATTTATCCAGCATACAAAGTATACAAGCATTTTAAGGGTAAGGAAAGATAAGGATGACATTCTACAATCAAAGTGGACTTGGTTTAAAAGCAGAAAGAAGCCATGTTTTGTTTCAAACTGATACAGCACTGATGTGTATTGTTTTTCTGGCTGCAAGTCTGAAAACACAAGTTTTGTCAGCCAAAAAGCAATAGATCTGGATTTTCAAGCTGAGGAATGTGCAGATGTTTTTGCCATGCCTGTATTTTCTTTACAAAACCAGTCAGTCAGTCACCTGCTTGACTGTGTTTAAGCACATGATTTATGATTTTACATCTAGGGAATATTTCCTGGCCTTCTGTCTGGGAAGCAACATGTAAGATATTTGCAAACATATGCACACAACTGACTTTGAAAATCAGTATGCAGGTATGATGTTAGCTGCTTTAGGCATAGAACATGTCCCTATGTTATCACTGTAGATAATGTGAATGGATTATGTGTGTTTTGTACTTTTTCTACCTGAGTAACTGTATTTTTCTAGCTTAATTATGAACAAATCTCCTTTAATTAACCACTATTTTTTTAAAAGGTGATATATATACAAATGTGTCTCTAGCTATCAGCAGAAGGAAAACACTATATATGAACAAATTTAATTTTTGCCAAGTGTGGCCTTCTTTTGCCTTCCTGGAAATGTAAACAGAAACTTGCATAATAGCTGCCTAGTGAAACTTCGTTCTTCTAAAACAGAATAGTTCTCTTAGTTAGCAGGTGACCTTCAGTTTGATAATGTGATTTTGGAAAATGCTGAGCAAATCTGACATTTTGAAGTACTTGACCATTCTTAGGATTATATGGTGAGCTGCTGTTTCTCCTATCATTACAAAAGCTTCTGGTGTGATATCCTTTCTCTACCCACCAAGGGTCTGGGGCCCCTCCTTCCAGGGGCTCTTCCTTGGCTGCCCTTGGGTGATCATTCAGCAGAAAAAAAAAAATGTATGAAGAATTTCTTGTGCTTTGGGCAGAAGGACAAGGTCCAACTTGGCTTCCTGCCGGAATGCAGAGCAGACAAAGACCTTCAAGTTATTACCTTGTATTAACTTCCACTGCCAGCATCCTACAGAGTGCTAGAATGATCCTATAATTGACCTCATGCCATTTTCCTTGTCTTGATATGCGTGACATAATGCTGAAGTAGTCTGATCCCGGTACTGTTTACAGTGTACTCTGTGTTTACTATACAGAATTCACTATATGATAAAAAGGCCTATTTTCAAGAAAGAAAACTAGTTAGATGTTTTTAAGCAGATGGCAGATCTTTTAGGTCTGTGGTGTTTAATGGGAGCTGGGAGTGTACAGGACCCTTCACTTTTAACTTCTAAGAACACTAACAGGAGAGAGAGAGCAGAGATTGCACTGCTGATATTTGTGGCTGGCTTTATCTCCTCAGCCACAGCACCAGCTGGGTGTGGACAGGGGTGCTAGGATGCTCTGGGCATCATTACTGAGGGTTGTGAGTGACAAACACTAAGCAAGGAGGCACTGAGATTACTTATTCTCTGCAGCTTTGACTTTCTCATCCAAAAGACATGGAACAGTTTTTATTTGTGTAGTACTCAGTGGTTTATTACTGCAGAGTCTGCATCATGGCATTGGAGTATCGTGACCTGAATGTCACATTTGCTGAAGCAAGCTGCAGATAAGAGCTTTGCATTCCCATAAACTGAATGCTTTTCAGATTCTTGTATTTTACTAGGTCATTAAATCTTCTAATGCCATATAACACATGGTGACTGCACCATAAATTAGTGTGTACAGTTTCTGGAAATGTGCACTTTAATTTCCTTTTTTGAATATTAAACTGATAAACCCTGTCTATTCAAGAGTCACTTTTAGACAGCTAAGATAATTAGGTTTTAACGTGTTGTCCATATCAAAAATAATGAAACTATACACAATGTACCAGAAAGTAACAGTTCTCAGTTAATAATAATGAAAAACTTTAAAGATTTATAAGTTTCCCATAATATAAAAATGAATTTGGAGATCATTTGGAGAATCATGCAAAATTGGAAATAAGGTACTTTTTTGTGGGAGATAAAAGAGTAAAAATATTTTTTAAATATCCCATTAGCTGTCAAGTCAGAGCCTATATTTTATATCTTTTTGAAGTGATCAAGCAGTACAAATTATAAGATAATTTTCTAAAATAAAGATGGTGTGTGTAAAGAAAAAAATCAAGAACTTCTTAAACAAAATTGATGATTTAGAAATATTTTTATTAATGTTGCATTTTAGTTTCTATAGTTCAGAGTAAATGTTAAAGGAGTGGTAAAAGCTTTGGAGCTTTATTTATGAAAATCCATGCCGTCCTTCAGATTGTTTCATTGTTCCTTTTTTAGGCTCCTACTTTATCTTGTCCAATTGCAATTGGCAAATAGATAAAATTGGCAAATAGATAAAAGTAATGTCCCCAAGATGTGTGTGTGCCAGAGCATCACTGTTTATTAGATTGTGTAGTGATACATTAGCCATTTAAAAAATCTTAAGTGCCTCAAATAAGACAAGGTGTTCCTGCAACACTGAAGGGAATCTATTCTATGCCCACCTGTCAGGGAGCAGAGAGTGGATAATTTTGTTAGGTACAGTTACTGGATTAGCTCTGTATGTGGGGAGGATATATAGAGCAGAAATTCTGCAGTGAATTACTGGCATATTGTTTTAGGTGTTCCTGTTTGCCAAGTGGTATTCTGTCTTGGAAAAGCTTTTCAACATTGGAAATGCCAAGGGAGGAAATGAAGTGGTTTTTTCAATGGAAATCCATTGCAATTTGCATTTTTTGTGTTAGATTTATTTACAGAAGGAAATGGCAGACAAGGGCAATATAGTTTGTAACACAGTATGTACTCATGACCATGCTCCTCCCTGCCTGTTGTTACCTTGCTTGCACAGAATCTGTGTAAGAGCCTACAGTTAAATGCAGGCTTCATACGGTTATATACAAGGCATCATATGTATTTATTCGTATCACAGTTAAAGGAAGTAAATCATTTATCCTTTGTGAGGTTTGACCCTCAAGGACTAGATTTCAGTGCTATTTGCACTTCTTGGGCAGGACAAGACCCACTTTAATGAATAGTGATTGTAACAGATCGTCACAAAGATTCAATGGCAGTGGGGGTAAGTGTATTAACAGAGAAAAATTGTAAACCAAAGTAATTCTTCCTCAATGCTGCAGTATAATAGCAAATGTCTATCTTTTTTTGTCTCTTTTGGTTTTTGCTTTCTGCTTTAAGCACATTCTCTTTGACAAATCCAAATGCCTTTTAGTCTCTGTGAGCCCAGGGAAGAGAAAGGAGCTGCTACCAGGCCTTGACATCCTTGTTTCCTGTAATAGGTGGTGATGATGTCAGGTAGGGGGGGGAATAGAAGAAACCCCAAAGATAAATGGGCTCAGTTATATTATTTTTTTAATGTTCCTGCAAGCTTCTGCTTCTTTTTCTCACTCCTGTGTTGCCTTGCTGGGACCATCCACAGCCTTAAAAGCTGGCTCTCTGTCATGGAGGCCAGGCTTTGTGTCAATGACATGTTGCTGCAGTAAGAGATTAGTCTGAGTGAGGTTATTCTGTACAAAAACTAGGGGGTAAATCCCAGGTGTGTTGATAGGATCTGGCAGGATGTCCTTTGTGCCCTGTGCAGCCATAAAATGTTATTGTAGATAAAGGCAGTATTTTGTTAGTCCATCCTTTAGGGCTGGCCATGTCCACTTGAACTGTATCATCACTTCAGCCTAACACTTGAGAATTCAGTGGGTGTCCCAGTGCACATTAAAAACCCTTGTGCCCATTATCATCTCATTTTCTATGTATGGTTTACACTGCTACCTTTGATATATTATTGCCAGCTGCTTGTTCTAGTGAATTGTCAATGTATGGCAATCTAATTGAAGATTTAAAGTGTGTACAGTGATTGTAACCGTTTTAAGAAATAAAGTCACTGCACATGCAATTTTATAATGATTGTTCTTTTATTTCTTTAATCCGGTTTCCATTTCAATGAAGGGATGGTACTCTCTTTGCAGCTAGAGCAAACAGAGATAAAACAAACTGATCTTTGGCATTTCAGTTCTTCTATTCTTCAACATTTCCTTCTAGCAGATACTTGTACTGGATAATTAATTCTAAGTTTTCCTTTTTCATTATAACCATGGCCCACATCTGCAATCAGCATACCTTTCTGGCTACACTTTTCCCTGACTGCAGGAGGGGAGGGGGTAAATGGTTCTGCAGAGCTTTCATTTGCTGTTGTGACCTAAAGGAAACAATCTGGATTGAACCAATAATCACTGCTGAATTTGTCCAGTGTGTCTCCCTGGAACCAGCCCCTTCACACGTGCACACACATGCACACGCACATGTCTTATAGGCTCCTAAGTTGCCTGTGGAAATTTGAATCATCATTAAAATCAAGTAATTGCATTTCAAATTGTGTGTGTCTGCTGCTCACACAACTCATTCCACTTAGCTGGCAGTTTTAGAAGGGCTTCAAAAGTTGAGAACAATTTTTGCTAGATACTGAAATGTAACCCCCGTATAAGCTGCATGGATGAGGCAGTCACAACGTGTCATGTTGAATGGCATTATGCTGGCACTGGGGTTCTTTTTTAAATGCAAAATCCTTCTGTAAAACTCAAGTGCTCTATAGATGCTGATGATTTTTCCCTCTAACCCAGATTACACTTGCTGATTACAGAGTAAAGTTTAAATTTGAGATGCTTTTCTTTAAAACTCTTACAACCTTCACTTCTATAAAATGAACATCCCTGATGGAGTCTTCAGAAACACTATGAACACACCCTGGTTTCTTTAAACAGAGAATGCAGTCCCACCATTTCCAATATTTTAATGTCACAAGTCAAAGAGAAAAAAAAAAACAGAAATCCAATTCTTTGTGTATGGACAGACTGCTGTGTCAGTAGAAGTTTCTCAGTTCTTGCTCAGCACCAGCCCTGGGGACAGATGGCTGGTGACGCTTGTTACTGGTCAGGAAACACGAAGGACTTGTCATCAAGCGAAACACGTGTGTGTGCGTGCGTGTGTCTGTGTGTGGTGTGCTCCGTGGGGTTCTGCCATGGTGGAGGTCTGCTCATGGATCTCCCTGGGGCTCCTGAGAGCTCAGTCCAGAGCCAGCAGTGGCTGGGTGTTCTCACTCTCCCCCTGGTCTTCGTGTTTCAGCGTGCCGGCTTCCACCACAGACTGGGACCTGAATGCAGAAAAACACACATGATAGTAATGGCTGCTGCAGATTCACTCACCTCCCTGGGGTCCCCGTGCTTCTTTTTA